CCAGAGTGGCGGGTTGGGTGGTCTAGGTGGTGCTGCCAGGCGTGCGTGCGTCTCAACAGTCAGCGGCCATTGCATACAACGGGGTGCCGTGGCGTGCTTAAAAGTTTTAAATTTGCTAGGCACTGACCAAATTGTTTGTGGTTGTTGCCGCTGAAGTTGTTGTTTTTGTTGTTGCTGGCCGGACGAATACTGAATTTGCAGCTAGGCGCAGCAAAATGGAAAAAAGCGCCCAAATTCAGCGAATTTTAGCTTGTGAGGTGTGTGTGTGTATATTTGAGTGCGTGTGTGTGTGTGTATTCGCTTAGTTTGTTTCGCACAACACGTTTTATATTGAACAGCTTTGCTATGTGTGTGAGTGTGTGGTTTTGTGTGTGTTCATGATTTATGCAATGGCAGATGCAACATGAAGAGTGGCCAACATTTTTTAATTGAAATGCACTTAAGTTCTTAGGCGCTTTGCATTCATTGTTAAACCCTTAAAAAAAATATAGTTTATACATTTTGGCAGCTTACTTTTTTTCTTAATGCTTACATAAAAAATTATAAACACATGTATAATAGAAACGAATTAAATTTCAAATAATACAAATATTTTATAAAAAAAAGAAACAAACCCCTTTCTCAATTGTCATGAAATGTAAAACCTATGTAATTGTCACTTTAATTTTTTTTCAAAAGTCCTGAAATAGGAAACACAATTTCTTGCATAGCTGTATTTTTCATTAGTATCAGCCGTGCCCATTCGAACCTAAAATATTTATTTGGGTTCAGGTATCCGTATATTCGTTTATACATTCTAATTAACTTTTCAAAGTGGATTCGAGATTTTGCCAGTTTATTTTAGATTATCATAAAAACAGTTTCTCTTGAACATAGACTCTCGAATAGCACTCGCTTACTTGCTTAATTATGTAAATCCCGCGCATACTTGTTTCCTGCACGCCGTTAACATTATTTCTGATTGCTGACGATGACATTCAAATGAAGTGAACGACAAAAATGTTTCTAATTTGACATACTCGTCGCGCGGCACGAGTTTTGTTGAAAAGTTGCGCATGTAAAATGCATATGTGAAATAAAATACAGAAATACAAATAAAATTGCAGAAACAGCAACAGAAACAATTAAACTTTTGCCCTGTCGTTTTGCACAGGATCAGGAGGATGTCCTGTGCGCAGTCCAGTAAGCCATGTGGCATTTTTGTTAAAAACTGCATAATTCATGTCCCATAGCAAAGTCCTGACCGAAGCTGACCAAAGCAACAGCCGCTGCAGAGCCAGCAGCAGCAGCAGCAGCCGTTGTCGTCATGGTCGTCAACATGCTCTCTTCCACATGGCTGCTCCACACATATTTCATTTAAAATTTACAAGTTAACAATATTAAATATTAACAGTTATTTATGCATTTTTCGGTATAAATCCCAAAAATTTCGCATGCAAAAGCGCACAAAAGTTGTCGACCTCCGACTCGCCCGCTGAGATGATGCTGCACAAATCTGGTAGCCTCTGTGCCCTTTGACCTGTCCTTCTAAGCATTGTGTGACTTGGCATTTTTCATATGCATGTGTAAGCATCAAAAGGCGCGTGTGTATGTGTGCTTGCGTGTAAATTGCATTTGCTTTCTACATTTTATTCAACAATATTTTGAGCTGTTTCTGTTCTTGATTTAAATAATTTCGGATTTCAGCCCTTTGTGTATGCATTTCTCTTCGTATATTATTTACATTTTGGCCAAATTGTTTGTCTATTTTGCTGATTTGTTCTTGGGCCAAACCGTTTGCCACACAATTCAAATCTTAATAAATGCAAATGTATTAACTTGACTTTTAGCTCCTCACATTTTCCCAACAATGAAACATGGCGGAAGTCTGCTACAATTTAGTCTGTTTTCTTTGTTGGCCAAAAATTTCCTTTTGTATGTGTTTTGTCTTTTCCAATCGCTTGCCTGCATTTTTTATATGTCAAACAAAACAAAACTTCGTTAAGTCTTGTTCTAAGCTGCACTCGAAGTACAAGGCCTGGACTTTTCATAATGACTCGCTAATTTTTATTGGCTAAAATTTCATGAAATTGTTGCTAGACAAATTTTTGAGCCAAGTGTATGCCCTGGCGGGCAAGGCGAACTCTGTGCCCCCAATAACCAAACTTTTACATTAGCTTTTGGCAAGGACGCAGACAACAGAGTACAGCAAACACTTGAAAAGGCAGCAACAGTTGCCAAAGTTGAGCCGCGTCTCTTTGCCGAAATATGCAAATGAGCTGGTTGCCCCAGACTTGCCTCTGGTCTCTGACAGGCGTGTAAAGTGCTCTAAAAGCGGCACCAAGCAACAACAACAATAGCATTTAGCCAACAAATTGCATTGCATGCGTCTGCCTGCTGGCTGGCAAATGCATTTGTCGCAGCAGCCGTCCTTTAAAATTGAAGAAAAAAGTATCCAAAAACCTTTTGCAACTTGCGTGTTGCATTTGTTTACACAACAAGCCAGCCATAGGAGTGAAAAATAAATGGAGTGTGACTGGCAGCAAGCGGGCCAGACTACAGTACCCCAGGATTCCATTTACACAGAGCATCCTTTGGTAATACGATGACGTAGCTGCTGCTAAGCGCGCGCTTCTGCTGCTGCTTTGGCTCTCTGTTGTGGTATTTAGACAATGCTCAATGCCCAACTGGCTGGCTGGCTAGCTGGCTGGCTTGTAGCCGCGAAAATGCCAACAAATCATTGTGAGGACAACCCGTTGGGTGACTAGCTGGGTAACAAGGGCACAACGTGCCACAACAACGACATCATCATCAGTTGTGCGCCTAAGTAAGCCGCATTTTGTGGATTCAAATGACGCCCTTATCCACCACCCCTCGCACCGTTGCTAGTATGCAACCTCAACGCTCGCACAACAAACGACGTGGTTGCAAAGTGATTTCTGGTTTAATGTTTTTTTTAATGTTGCTCATGTTGCAACTGACCAACGCCTCCGTTGCTGCTGCTGCTTCTTCTTCTGCTGCTGCTGCTGCTGCTGCTGACGCTGATGATATTGTTGCTGTCATCAGCAGTGGTTGCCGCTATGGTGAACTGTTACTGGTCACTCACTCCGTTTGGCAAGTCAAACATGAGCCATGTGCGGTATGCTCGTGTCCGTTACGTAGTCCTTGTCCCTCGCTTTACCTCTCAGTGTCTGCCTTTTTCTCGCTCTGGTGCCTGTCATGTGGCCACTTCTGTTGCTGTTGTTGCACCTACAAAAAGTGCGACCACGGCTAATTTTTCGCCCTGTGTATGTGTGTGAGTGTGTGTGACTCCATTAGCTGTTGACAAAGTTGTTCACCCGGTCTTGTCTGTTGCTGTCTCTGTGTGGTTGCGTGTGTGTGTGTGCTTTGTGGCTGTGTAGCCGAATTTGACACAACATTTGTCAAACCACAAAATGGCAGCCGCAACGTTACTTTCATTATGCAAAAGGTCAGCAAAACAGGCAATGGCTCTGTGGTAGTTGTTGCTGCTGTTGCTGTTGCTGTTGCCGTTGCTGTTGCCGTTGCTGTTGTTGTTGCTTCCAAATGACATTTGACTTGATTTGCCAAGCTTACATCGTTTGTGTCCGGTCAGCTGCCTGGCCAATAAGCTGCGATTTATCAACTAGCAACAACGAATTTGTTACCACTGTCAGCCCCTTCTACTAGCTTATGTATATTTTAGTCACGCTGCACCCACAAAATTGTATTAAAAATCCGAAAATCAAAAACACGCATATGCATAATTGTATTGCATGTGAAAATTTGCAAATGCAATCAACACAATACAATGTACAGCCAAATAAGCCCAGTGTATGTGTATGTTAGTATGTCGGGTGTTGCGTGTGTGCGTGTGTGTATTTGTGTTTAGGTGCTGATTGCTGGCTAGCTGGGCGCTATAGGAAATCAATTAGTGCAAACATATTTGCTACGGCGCCCTTTCGTTTAGGCCTGACTAACGATGATCGATAATTCAGTTGGGATTCGTCGTCCCTAGGAGTCTTATTTATTATACCCTGTAACGCTCAAAAACGGGTAAAATGATTGAAATACAGTTTTGTTAATGTGTGCAATCGATAAAACAAAGATTTCCAATCTCATAAATCATTTACGCAAACGTGTCCACTGATGTGTCGCATGGGTAAACCAATAAATGTTGCCTTCCTCGTGACCTTTAATAAGACTAACAGATTGAAATTAATTTAATTGTGATATAAGGAAAAGCATGTGAGTTCTACCCCTTCATTCAACTCACTCCATTGTTCAAACTTTCCTTGCATGGCCCAGTTTCACTCTCTTGTTGAATAAGTACAGCGTATCAAATAGTCGGACACTCGAATAGCGACGTTTTTGTTTTGCAGTTTTTATTTACTGACGTCCCATATTAATAGTTCAGCCGTATGTTATATACATATTTTATGTTGCTTATATTTTCGTTTATTTAGCAACAATTAGCAGCTTTAAGTACAAGCTGTTGATTTATGTGCATTGTACAGTGAGTACACGGTGTGTGTTTGTGTGCGCTTGTGTATTAAATGTGCGCCATAAAGTATGCAATATTTCTATGTGCGTTTGTGTGCATAATTAATAATTTAATTGCTTCTGTTTATCTCTTAATTAAAAGGGATTTATTTGACCCGTAACGCACTGTGAACCGCAGCAATTTCAATAGCAATAACAATATCAACAACAGCAACAACAACAAGATTCGCGGCACAAATCGCTGCACTTTATTTTATATTACTTTGCTAATTAAGTTCATAATTAATCGCATTTAATGTGGTTTTTGTGGCTATCGCCGATGATGATGTTGTGTCTCATATTGTTGTTATTGTTATTGTTGTTGCTGCCGCTGATGAGAACCACAAAAACTGATTAGGGCCTAGCTTAATTAGAATTGATTGCTCAAAAGATTTGTACGCACAAACACAACAACATTAATAATACAAGATTAAATATGCTAATCGAATTGTCTTCTGCTTCTTCTTTTGTTTTATTTACAGGTGAGTCCACACGCTTATTTCCAAATGCCAACACAATTAGTAAGTAAAAGATGAGAATATTTAGTTAAAAACCTGTCAGCCACATGCCTTAAATTGTGCCTCAATGACTCGTTTAATTTTGAAAGCATATTTTGCGCTGCGCCGCATCTTTTCTGCCTATTTGGCAGAAACTTAATTAGCCGTCAAAACAATGGTGGCTACAAGCAAAACCGAAGCTCCCCATACCCCATACCGCAGCCCAACCCCCAAAAATCTATACACCCAAGCGGCCAGCGAGTGGCATCGTCTAATTTTCATAATTGTTATTATAGAAATTCAGCAGCCATAAACAAAAGGTTAGTTACTTGCCTAATGACTTGAAGTGCTGTCTGCTTCACAGCCTGCCTTTCTGCCTGCTTGGCTACCAGGCGGGGCAAAACTTTTACGGCTCGAATCGCCTGACTTGATAAACAAGCAAATGCGCTTATCACTGCGCACAACTTTTCTGGCAGCCCTCCCTCTATCTATCAGTTGAATTGTTGTGGAGTGGGGATGGGTGGAGCCGCGTAAACCGCGCACTCATAACCAAGTCGCGTTCAATGCGAAAATGATAGCCGGCCGTCCCCAAGTTCACAACTTTTCAACTATTTGTTGAGGCGAGGTGGGCGGCTGCGCCACCCACCATTCTATTAACTGGGGGAGTGGCTAAACAGCCCAACACTAATTACAATGCCTTGGCGTTGATTTTTATGTGCCTGAAATTGAAATGGAGCACAGCACGGAACACTAAACGCTTTTAAAGATGCCTTAAAGCGTTGCCCAGTCAAATATTTTACAAGCCGAAAGGAGAAGCTGCCCCACACCCACACACTCACACCCGACCCACAGCACCAGCCTTCACTGCTCTGCGGCAGGCAACAGCCTACAAAGTTGCACGTTGAACTTTACAACTTTTGCGCCATTTGAGTTGCCAATGCTATTTCTATGCCTCCAACAGTTGTTTGTTTGCTTGTTGGCCGCTAACAAGTTTGAGCCATGTCCTTTGCTGACTTCAACAACCGGACGCCTTTCTATTATTAATGTCACTGTTGTTGCTGCTGCCCCCGCTGCTGCTGCTGCCCCCGCTGCTGCTGCTGCTGCTGTGTAGTTTAATTAATTAATTTGACAAAGTTTTCAATTGAACTTCAGCTGGTCGAGTCGCACAGCTTTAATGCGGCTGAAAAGAACCAGAGAGCTGTCCAGCACACACAAATCAGCACTTAAAAATTACGTTTTCAAACAATGTGCAAACGAAGCCAATAATAAATTTATTTTTAATACCTGGCTTCCATGTCTATGCAAATATGGCACTTCTTTAAGGCTTCCTTTGTAGTCATAAACAAAAACAAAACTGTAAAACTGGAAAAACAAGATAAATAACTTTTCTTTCCGGATGTCGAAGCTTAAATGCCCTATGCCAGTTGTGCATTATGTCTCTGTAAATTTGGATATTAACTTGGAAACTCTCATTAAACAGCCTCATTCCTAAATGATAGTTCCTATATATTGACTAATGTATATTTATCTTGTAAAGTTTTTTTTTTCGCAAACTTGTCTGCCAGATTCTAAGGCGAACTCATTTGTAGGTGAAATCCTACATACTGCAACTGCAGACAAAGAATTTATATATCCATGGACTACTCTTTTCGAGCTAGAGTATAAAGCAAGTTCAACATATTGTTAGTCTTAATTCATTTCGAATCTTGTGGTATTTCGTGTGCACATTTAATTAACAAGCAGAAACACAATTGCAACCTTCAGTTGCAACTTGAGTTGCATACATATTTCTTTTACAATTTCCATATCTGTTGTTCTTGCTACAATTATGTCTGCATGCCTGAACAGATAAATTGATAGATTTGCCTAACAGATTTTAATGGATACTCTATTTTGATTTACTGCAGAATTATTTGTGGCTGCCAGAGGGTCGTAAGGGCATTTAAATGTTCATTAAGTCGCATTAACTTGCAAAGTGGCAGAATTTTTGCCTGTGCCTATCGAATGCACAGCAGCAGCAGCAGCAGCAGCAGCAGCGGCAGCGGCAGCGGCAACAGCAAAAAGGTTTGCCCCATGACCTCAAAAATGTTCATGCCACACTTCCGCTGCTTACGTTGCTTCCGCTGATTGTTGTTGTCGTTGTTGTTTTTGCTGCTGTTTGGCTGCCCGCGCATGAGTTGGCTATAATTAAAAATGCTATTACTGCCAACTTCATATAAATTTTTAATTAGCAATTTTTGCTATTTTCCTACTTTTGTTGTGCACCCCAACAACAACAGGGGCTGCCTTATTGTTGTGGTGGTGCTTCCTCTTATTGTTGTTGCTTTTGTTGCCTGTGCTTTGGTGAACTTTTTAAATTAGCACTTTGTTAAACACTCTGATGAAAAAGGTAGCAGCACCACCAAAAGGCACCACCACCCACCATCGTGCAACAAAAATGTTGGCATAAATTGTTTTTTAAAAGGATTTTGTCCATTGCTCAGCGCTCCGGACCGCATCCCACCGCACCGCAATCACCTTAGCGGCAGCCCGTGACACGGCAGCTGTTCATACGCATTAAGTACCACAGCGCCGCGGTGGCTGTCATAAATTTTTAGATCTGTCTGCCTGATAACTAGAGTTACTCGACTAGAAGCTACACTGCTTTCAGATATGCGAAAAGAAATTAGAAATTAAGCCGAAAGCATTTCTAATATTTTTCATTTAAAAAACCCCTACAAAATGCACAGTTTTTCGAGCTCATATAGTTTTCAATCTATTTCTAATAAGCATTTTAACTCTCGTCTGTCCATATATACCCTGAATTAACGTTTATGCCATTAACAGAGAGTATTTGCATTCTTAAAAACCCTACAACAAAAACTGTTGCCTGCTTATTTGAGGTAAGCTTGCGCGAGAAGTTGATTAGCATAGCAAAAGGTTTGTGGTTTTACTTTTTGTTGCTACTGTAATGATTAGATTTTATGCATGGGACCATGATGGCACGCCCACAGCGCTTGTTGTTGCTGTTGTTGTTATTTCGTTTGCCGTAAAAAGGCGCAAATATTGACAATTATAGCCTATAATTTGACACCCATCGGAAACAACAAAAGCAACGACAGTAACGCACGCCTGTCAGCACCATAAAAGTGACAGCCAAAGGGTTGACAATTAAAATTAAACCAACCACACATACACACACACAATCACACTCACATTTCTCGTGTGAGCTTTGTTGAGCAACGCTATGTGATACAGCAGTTGTGCTACATACACACGCACACACACACACACACACACGCGCGTACCCAGCCAGCGATACGCACAGACGCACGCACTTTTGTCATGCATTTTAATTAAAATTAACTTCATTTTTATGACGCTGATGTCTGTGTGGCATGTGTCGCTTTGTCTCTTACTGGTCGCTGGTTGCTTAGTTAGTTGCCACAATTTATACAATTAAATAAAGATTTTATTATCATGCCGCTGGCTTTTAATGTCTTCGAGCTTGATGTGCGCCACACTCTCTGGCTATGTGTGTGTTTGTAAATATTTAAGCTGCAAGCATATCAAATTTACTGTTGTAGGTGTCGCGTCGGCATATTTTAAAAGCTTTTCGTTATACAGCGCAGCGTTTACTTAGCATACAGGGGCATAGGTGGCAAGAAGGGTGCTGCATCCTGTCGTTTACTTTTATATGTATGTATATATGTGTATGTATTTATATGGGAGCATGTATGCAAATTTATGTGACGTTGTGGCAAGCACGCGCTCACTCTGGCTTAAGGCTGGGCCCCAAAAGGAATTTCCTGGCTACGGCTTTTGTTTTCTAGCTGACGCTGCAGCAGCCGTCGTCCTTGTTGTAGCCCAAATGTATGCAAAGCTGTGTTTAAAGTGTGGCAACCACATCACATGCCAAGCGGCTGGGTGTATGTGTGTGTGTGTGTGTGTGGCTTGTTGGCAATTTAATGGGCGCGACCTGCCGTCGCGTCGTTTATGCATATTTAATAGTTGCTATTTTTGCTAAGTGCTTGAAATTGTCAGCGCACGAGCACGCAAAGAGGCAGACAAAGACGTTTGAAGAGCTGCAAATCCGGTGAAAAGCTGCCTGAAAGCCACATTGGATCATGCCCAGATGCCTATGATTCATGCTCTCCAACCCCCTTTCCTATTCAACTATCGCTCCATCTTGCTCGCAAGCAAACTAATTACATTTTTGCTCAATTGGCACAAGTTGCTCGACCTTTTGCTGACACTCAAGCAGCCAAGTTATACAACTAGCAGAGAGAGAGAGAGACAGAGAGAGAGAGCTAGCGAAACCAAAAGTTACACTGGCGGCATTTCAATGAATTTTGAAATTTGCCAAACGAAAAAGTTTGCCCAGTATTCTACCCCAACCGCGTTCTCGTACCGCAGCAGCAACCCTTGCAGTTGCTAATGAATTACTGTAACTGACTTGTGCGCCCAGATTTATGCAACGAAAATTAAAAGGTAAATAGCGCGGGCACGACTGGCTTCAGCCCTGCCAAAGCAAGGATAATAGTTGTCAGCCTCAAAATGTTCCCTTGCCTGGACCGTTTCTGGCAAAGTTTAATCAAGCGCTATTCTGTTTGCCACGGCATGACACGCCCCTTCGCTGGCTGAATCAACTTTGCATCAATTTCAATATTCCCACTGTTTTCATTTAATTTCACCAACTTAAAACTTAATTGCGTACTTCCTGCGACTTGCTGCTGCTGCAGTGCACTTGGCTGCTATCCTGGCAAGCAGCATCGGACCCCCACTCTGCATACCCTGTAGAATCGCCATGGTGTTCTTGCCGCTGCCGCTGCTGCTGCAGCTGCTGGGCCCTTTTTTGCATTTAAATTTGCAAAAATTAAAGTCGCTATGGAGGCGTCAAGGAGCGCAACAGGTGGCCGCGCAAACTCATTTAGGGTATTTATGTAGGGGCGGACTTGAGCGCGCTTTTGTGGCCGGAGGTCTGGGTCTTGTAATTTGCACAGCAGCAGCAGCAGCAGCTACAGACAACGACAACGGCAATGATA